CGCCGCAGCTGCGGGGAGCACCAGCCCCGTGTGTGCTCAGGGAGGAGCCGGGACACAGCCAGATCCCCAAGGGAATTTGTACAGGCTGGCTTAGGGGTGGGAATCCGCACCAGGACAGGTTTGCTTGGCAGGGAAATGCGCTGTTCTGCGGGCAGGCAGGCAGCCGCAGTGACACCATGCAGTGCTGCTGCTCTCGGTGCAGGCCCCAGCCTCTGTCCCATTTATATTGTGGGAAGGATTTTGTGAAAGAGGTGGGAGCACATTCAGAGGCTCCCCGAGGCTCTCTCCTTAAAACGCCCCTTTTATTGCAGGGTGCATGCCCCATCAGAGCCCATCCCAACACCAGGCTGTCAGTGACATCCCTCCAGTTCCTCTTCCAGGCCCCATCAGAGCCCATCCCAACACCAGGCTGTCAGTGACATCCCTCCAGTTCCTCTTCCAGGCCGTGGCTGTCCCAGGCCACCACAGGCAGAGTTTCTCCTTGGGTGACACTTGCCCAATCTCCGAGTTCAGCCACGATGGAGAGACCAGGCAGGAGGCAGAGCCGTGTGAAATACTGGCGTGTTTATTGGTTGGCACTAGATTACAGCCCACGCTCTCGGCAAACTGGCACCCAGCGATTTTATTTTTTCAATTTTTCACTCTTTTAACGACAGTGACGGCCTCCCTCTCACACACAACTCAACAGAGGAAACCCCTCGTGACAGGACCCCACAGCACCACCCAGCTTCACTCACTGAGAGCCCTCCAAACTTTCTGGAGACACCACAGATGAGAGGTCAGAATCGTGTGGGGATGTCCTGCAGTGGGGGTGAGGTCGAAGGTACCAGCTCAGACACAAACCAGACAAACCCCCACGGCTCTGACCAGTCAAGGAGAGTCCTTGTTTTGGGGAGGAATGGAGAAACCCCAGGCAAACACAACTGTGGGCACAAGGCTGGACAATGGACCCTGGGCATTCATCCCTCAGCTGGGTCTGGGGTCCCCTTCTCCTGATTTGGGGGGACTGCCAGGAGCCCCCCACGTACACAGAGCTCATGGAAGGACTGAGCAGCAAATGCAAAGTGATCATTCCAGATTTTCTGATTTAATAAATATAAAATAGGACACACAGGAAATTCAACAAACACTCTCAGAGCTCCCCAGGTTTCTGAGGCAATTCTAGAGCAAATTCATCAAGTATAACATCAAAATTCCCATCTTCCCATCAAAAAAAAAAAAACAAACCAAAACCAAAACCAAACAAAAAAACTTCTATGGACTAGCACCAGAGAGAGATTTATAAATCTCCTAAATACAACTTCAGTCCAGTTCAGTTTTTCACCAGCTACACTTTAGTTCTGTACAGACCTGCCACTACCCCAGCACAGCACTCAGGATCTCCAGAGCCCAGAGCAGCTGGATTAGTTCATTCCAGGGTTAGGAAAATGAGGATCACAGCCTGTGTGTGTCAGGGGCTCAGCTGAGGGACACCCCAGCCATGAGGTCACCACGTCCCTGAAGGGCTGCAGCCACCAGATGATGCCATTACTGAGGAGAACAGAGCCAGGAGGGAAAACCCAGCCTGGGGGCCAGAGCAGAGCAGGCAGAGGGAGAAGCTCCAAAGCTCCTCACAGTGCCACAGTCACTGCCTGGGGCAGGTCTGGCTGAAGATGCAGCTCCATCCCCACCAGCACAGGCTCCGCTTGGGGGGATCAAACCCCAAACCAGCCCCTCACCAAGCCCCAGGGTTCCTGTATGCTCTGCACAGGGATGGATGCTGCACCCGGCTGTGTGAAAACACCAAGAGGTTAATTTGGGATGAAACAGAGAGAACAGGCAGGAAAACCCACAGCTCTGCTACAAGGGGCACTCGCTGGACCTGTGCAGCCTCCAGGATTCTGATCCCTGCTCGCTGTGGAATGCTGAACACAACTTCTGCATGGAAAAGCTGAGGCAAAGGCCCAAAGCCTCTGCTGGATCCGGGAAGGGAACTGAGGATTCCTGACATTCCCTACCCACATTTTTAGCCACTGAATACTTTGTGGCCACACAAGGGAAAAAGCAACACTTGCAGATTCCAACCCCTTTTCAATTTTTCCCTTTACAGAGTTTGCTTTAAGGCACATTCCAGCTCAGGCTGAACGAGCTGCCTCAGTGCTCCACAGGAGAGCAGGGAAGAGCTCACAGCATCCACCTACACAGGAACAGAGCTGGTGGCAATGCTGATCCTGCTGCTCCTTGCAGCCCCAAACCCAGCTCCCACCTTCCCCCAGGCACCAGGGCAGACAGGTTTGGGTGCTGCCTGCTCAGCACCCATGGGTGAGGGACCCTGACATGCAGCCCTCAGGCTCTGCCCCCTTCCATCAGCTGGGTGATGAAGAGCAGCCCCTCCTCACCTCACACCCCAAAGCAGCACTCAGGACCTGCCAGGGCTGCTGCTCCTCGCTGGGTGCCTGGGGACACCCTTGTCACACCCAGAGAGCACAGCCAGGCTGAGAGCCAGCTGAGCGCTGCTCCCAGGGGATGCTGACACACACAGTGACACTCACACAAGGCTCAGGCCGGCTGAGGTAAGAAACCAGCTCGGAACAGCACCAGTTTCAGCACAGCTGGGAGCCCCAGGCTCATCCCCTGGGGCTCAGAGGCCCCAGCAGAGACTGAGCAGCCCTGAGCGGGCTGCAGAACCAGAGCCACCCTCCCACAGCTCCCCCGGGCCTCCCACACACAGGGCAATGCTCATCCCAAACCAATTAATATAGATAAAACCACTCCAGCTGCTGGGGGTGCAGCTGGACGAGCTCTAGAGAGAACCTCAGATGCTGAGGAAGATGGGAAGTGTGTGGTGCACAGGGCTCAGGCCTGGACTGAAATCTGCATCTCTTCCATCAAGGCTATTTCTGCCCCAGGAGCCATTTCCAGTTACATCAGCCACTCCGTGGTAACAGCATCAATCCATGCCACATTAAAACACTTTCTTGGCACAATTTATTTTTTCTGACCCAAACAAATAAGCCATTAGCAAGTCATTAACAATATTCTACCCTAAATTGTCAGTTTAACAGCCCTGTAAAAACATTTTTTAGTTTAAAAACAAAAGTGTGCATGCTGCTGATATTAAAACTGCAGTTACTCTTTCAGGAGTACCAGCTGTTTTGTTGCAAAGCATTTCCAACATACTAATCTGTACAGTAGAGACCAAGACTCGTTGAAGGCAGTAGATGGCTGTGTCAGGTGCCTCGCAGGGCACGGGGACAGCGACTCTGGGAATTTCTTGGACACTTCCAGATAGAATATTCAAGCCCTTTTGAGAGTTTGGTTCAGGCTGACCAGCACATAGTGAGAAAGGATTGTACATTCGTCTCTAAGTTGAAGTGAGCTGAACTGGTGTAATTTGGGCTCAATTCCAGACGCTTGGGTTTGAGCTACTCCTTGAATAATGGGCTGTTCCTTACGCGTGGTTTTCCATGTCAGCGATCACTGGCACTGCTTTTGGCCTTGCTACTCCACACCGATGAAAGCAGGGAGAACAAGGAAAGGAACAGAAAAGGATCTTAAAATGAACAGCTTCTTGCCAAACCAGCAAGGATACCATTCCCCCTTGTCCCAGGCTCCATGGATATTTCTATCAGATTTTCATATTGTAAGCGCTTCTCAGGAAGAGAGAAAACTCCAGAACAGTGAGTGTTTATTAGAATATTTTTTTGTTAAATAAAGAGCAGGAAAAAAAAAAAAAAAGGAAAAAAAAAAGTACTGCAGATTTAATTTCACATCTTGGCTCTGCTCTGACAAAGGAGAAGTTACTGAACTCAGCAACCACTTCTTGTCCCAAGCCAGGGATTAATTAATGCCCCTCCCAAAACTTGTACCTGTCCCAACCCACCCCCCCCAAAACCCCAACCCTTCCCATTTTATTTCCCAACTAGACAACACTGTTGGCAAATCAAGACAGCATGAAACTTACAGCAATAAAACAACAAACCCCCAAGTGAAGTGTGCCGGCGCATGGGGAGCTCTGCTGTGCTGCTCCCCCGGGAGTGCCGCCTGCACAGGCAGCTGTACCTTTCACGGAGGGCACACCTCAAGCACGCTCCACGGTGCGACCGTAAGTGCTGCAGAACCACAGGACAAGAGACTCAACACCTGAATTTTCCCCCCGGGATTTCCCTTCAGGGACGCGCGCGCGGTTTCTCTTCTCGGCGAGC